AGCAAAGCGTGGCAGCGAGCTTCTACAGCGTTGTACCAACTTTACCACCCTACACCTCTTGAGAGAGTGTCGTTGCTCGCTTAATTTCAACTCGGCCACCTGCGCCCGTCTGCCCACGCTACATGTCTTTGCTGCACGTTTATACTGGCGTATAACGGCACTTTATAACAGCTGTTTCTAGTAACTGGCGCTTGGCAACAATTTTCCAATTTCGTCAATGTCGTTTGCCTTCGGTGACTTCCAGTTACATACGTCTGACTGCATATATATGTATGTATGTATATGAGCACGGCGAGGTGTTTTGTAATATTACACAAATATATGCAACACCTGCTTGGGGGATACCAAAACTTGAGGCTCTCATTCTCTCTTTTTACTAATGTTATAACACTACTAATTTGAAAATTAACACTATGCTCTCTTACACAGGGGTGCTCTCTATTTCTGTACGCTTCGTAGCGTGTTAATAGTTGTTGGGGGTTGGTGTTGTTCTCATTTTTATATCACAACACTTTCCAAAAATAACTTTTAACACAACGTTGCTTTATTTAGTCACTCAATCTTAAGGTCTCTCTCCCTCTCTCCATGATTTTGTGCAACCAAGTATTTGTGGTCTTATGTGGTCCTAAATGCTGTTAATAATCTTCAACATTTTTAACACCCACGTAACAGAGAGATGGCTACAGTGTTCTTTAACAACCCCTTGACCCTAAGAAAAAATAAAAAAAAACACCTAAGGATTCATAGAACTGATGTAAAAATAATTCTTCCTATGAAAATGTAACGCTTTCGCTTTGTAAATTCACTATGAGTTCTTTTTAATAACTTTAAGTATCGTGACTAAGCCAACGAAGTGAAAAGAACTTGTGGCAGAGCGATTCTACTAGTAAAACCAAGAAAACCAGGCGCCTAAAGTGTAGTACATAATGCAATATCAAATTATTCTCGAGTAGCAAAGGCACTAGAAAGTTTGTTGCCTTCCACATTCACCCACCAGCTGAGAGCCCTTCATCGCATCAGTACTGGTATATCTTGTCAGGAGGCACAAAGATATGCTTGGCAAACCGCTATAGGCATCATACTTGCAGATACTAGATAGCATCACCTCCCATATACCTCAAAAAGGACGTACGAATATGTGCTTGGATGTACTCAGCATAGAAATACACGCACCAAACTATTGTAACCGACGAGTTTTAGAAAAAGCTCAAACGCTCTCCATTTAGAAATAATAAAGGGCTTCCTTAACACTTTCCAAGTGAATGGTGTCGTAGGAACCCAAAAATCATCTTTTATAAATTTATAAACGAAGAGATCGAGCTGCCGCCGGCGATCTGCTAACTCGTCCTGGTGCGACCAACATACAAAAGTTATAAAATTTAAATTTATTAAAAATAAAAATTAAGTTAAATTTACTAATTGGTGTCGACCCGGCAGGAAATGTTAAGAACTTCAAGTGTATTTCTTACATGAGATAAAGGATCTTTATAAAAAACCATTACCCATTCGGAGGCGGCTTAGCATAAACTGTAGGTCCATCGAAAAAACATCAACACGCAAAACCATAAATTGGAGGAGGAGCTCGGCCGAAAGTTGCTTTAGCGGTTACACAGCTAACTCGTTTAACATTTGTCTTCCTTTGTCCTGAACTCATCGAAACAACACGTTTACTGGACAGCCGAAGTTGATGACGTAAATACAATAATTGTCAGTCATTTTTGTTTTTTTGAGGATATAAACCATCGAAGGCATTAAGGCCGTCAGTTTGAGATTTCAACCCTTTTAAACCATCTCAGTTTGTTCGGTATTCCATGGTATTACCTTTGTGCATTTTTCCAGTAGGATTAATGGTGTGTGTAATGAACTTATATCTCCTACATCTTAAAATATACCATGACAATTGACTTGCTTTAATCTCTTTTCGAATAAGTCAGCGAGTATAACTTCCGCTCAGCTACGAGGTCTTTCAACGCTTCATTATTGTCGTTTTACTCTCACTAACCCAGTTTCGTCACTCACTGCGATATCGAGAGAGGAGAGATTTGTTTGGATTTTGTGACACCGTGCAAAAAAATAAGGTAAACAAAGTTTTCTTTCTCTCCCTCTCTCCCTCTCTCTCCTTTCCGAAGATCGCAGGTCTAAAGCTATCCTGGTAAGGTCCAATCTGCTTTAGTCTTTCGCCCAGAAAGCTCGATAGAACCTTATATGCGCTATTAATCAGGGTTGTCCCACGGTATATAGGAGAGACCTTCTTTGTGGATTGGACAGAACACACTTAGGTTCCAATAGACAGCCATGCCGTGGGTTTTCCCACAGTAATTGGGCCAAATTGTTGGAACTCCATTTTTTGTTAAATGGGCAAGCTTTCATCCGATGCAGACGCCAGTTCAGTTCTTCGCAGCCTTATTTGAATATATCAGCCAACAATCCATTCTTTATAGTCGGACAATAAAACTTCTGTTCCATCATCATCGACTGGGTAACCGGGTGTTCTATTTTAACTGCATTCAGCAGGCTAGAGAAGTCCTTCTTTTATAAACTCAGTATACTCTGTCGCAATAAGTCGCAAGATTCAGCCTCTGATAAGCTAATGGCTGAGTTTACAATTTTTTACAAGGACAGGATCTTTAGAGCATCAATCTGTGTTTTACCCTTCAAATTCTTAGGTTATACGACTTGTGTTCTTACTTAAGAGCTTTATTTTAGCATTAACAATATTTTAAAAATTCCAAATGCGTTTCTCTGTTTAAATCCAATTTACCTCGGAAACAATATTACTGGATCTTCCAACACACTGTCTTTTTCACTTTTAAAATTTCCTCTCACTCACTTCCAGTCACCAAAGAAATTGCTCTCGATTTAACAACCCACTGAAAATGGAATGACGCAAACTAATTACGATTTTTCAGTCAAGCACTTAAAAGAGGAATCAACTTCCTCCAGCTCTCTTTCTACTATTTCATGCTCAGAAAAAGTTAAAACCATCTACCACCACAAGCCATCACACAGAGGAACTTCATAGGGGTCATTGTTCGTAGCTGCCAAGCTTAAAAAATAAAATAAATCTCACAATGACAAATGCACAAGTAAACATATATATATTTGCCTTGTTCTCCCCCTACCCTTTCTAAGTAAACTGAGATTATACTCGTAGGTACGCGCAACGTGCTTTCGTTGCCGGTACCACGAATACGCAAGTTAGGCAGCGCGGCGTCCAGTTACAGCTGTTCCAACGAACTCACGTGCTTAACGTGTGCCGAGTTGTGTGTGAGAGCTTTACAGCTTCTGCAAAGCTTTTTTCACGAGTGTACATAAGAGAGCATGTGCTATTATTTCTGCATTAATTGCTTGGTTGTGTGTAGGTGGCTTACAACAAGTTTGAAGTTCCACTACCCACTTGTTCTTTCGCCAATTATACCATATAGCCATAATTATATTATTAATGACACTTCATTCGAAAAAAAAAATCGGTCAATATACTGATGGATTCGATTTTCTAAAGTAGAATTTCATAGGTTCTTTAAGAAAAACCTTGAGCACATTTCTTTGTGTATCCCAGATGATTACATAATATTCGCTATACAGTCATGGCATTCAAGACCAATTAAATAGCATAGCAAATTTGGACTTCACCAGAGACGTCATCAGGTGAAGTTTTTGGTGGTCCTTCTCGGGGTTGGTCCTCTATGGAAAAATTTTCAGTCTGGAATCTTCGGAACCACTTAGAAATAGGTTTAAAGACGGTGCAACCGTCCATATACAATTTGGCATTCACTGAATATTTATGTTGACTGTAAATTATGCCGAAACCCGAAGATAATCACATGGTGAATTTCTGATATCGTTGGTGGCGAAATTCAGCCTGACCTTTCCTTAGCTATCTCTACTTCAGCCGACCGTTGTAAAATGTGAAAGGAAGACTAATAAATTATTTACAAAAGTTTTGGTATTTTTAGATTTAACAAAATCAAATTGAAAGGGTGATTTTTTATAGAAAAGTCTTTAAAAAACACATAAAATTCAGAAAAATACCTGAACGCTTTATCGATAGTACGGTCCATATAATTTAATGTTTGTAGATTACTTCATTGTCTAATTTTGACATACTCTTTTTTCAATATTTCGGCCGATATCTCACGAATAAATGGCTCCAATGCGTCAATTGAAGCGGGCTTGTCTGCGTAGACATTAGATGTAACATAGACACACTAAAAATAGACGTTAAATCGCACGATCTAGGCGGCCAATTGACCGGTTCAGAACGTGAAATAAAATGTTCACCGATCTCGCCTCTCAATAAGTCCATTGTTATGCGTGCTGTGTGACATGGGGCACCGTCTTGTTGAAACCACATGTCATTCCAGTCAAGCTCTTGCATTTTGGGCAAAAAAAAAGTTTGATATCGTCTGACAGTAGCGCTCACCATTCACAGTTACGTTAAGATTCGCATCATCTTTGATGTCCAATGATGCCACCAGCCCATAAACCTCACCAAACTGTGACTTTTTCTGGATGCATGGGTAGCTCTTGCAAAGCTTCTGGCTGATCTTCACTCCAATATCGACAATTCTCCTTATTTACGCACCCATTAAACCCAAAGGAAGCTTCGAAGCGCGACTATCTCAACAAGGCACGCATTTTCATAATAAAATTCAATAATTTGAAAACGTTGTTCGTTTTTAAGACGATTCATGGTTAAACTATAAACCAAACTGAAGATGTTTGACAGTGATACAAAACACGAAACGTGCGTCAGCTGTTTAAACCAGTGTTGCCAAAAACATAATAACTAAAAAATCACCCTTTATAACTGATGCTAACAACAGATCTATGACTCTTGGACTCTGTGAAATTTGAACCTCTCTTTGCATAACTTATGATGAATAATCTTCCGGCCGGTTCCGATGCTATTCTTCGGTTCAAAAATCAATAAAGTTTTAATAAAAACATTTAAATCTTCTTGTTATGATTTTTTTAATTTATTTTATTATATAATTTTTTTTTTATAAAACAAGTACATATATTTGTACAACAAATTACGAGTGCATTGCGAATGCAAATAATCCGGATTATGATTAATTTTAGATAATTTAAATGGGTATTTACATACAAAAGCTGCAAAGAGCAGCGAAATATGTGAAAAAGTATCGATTAGTAATTAAATACATATGTATGTATAAATATTTGAAAAATTTTATAATGAAAATACTACGTAAATAAATATCGACTGAAGCTTCAGCGAAAAGAGAGAATTAGGCCTAGAGTAAATAACAAAATATAATAAATTATACAATTATCTTTTTATACCAAATTTGGTAAAAAATAATAAATTAAATGGGAATGCGCGCTTTCCCTGAAATTATAACAAATTAAAGCTAATAAAAGCACTAACATACTACTATGTATATGTATGTACGGTAAGCTTTAAAGCTCACCTTGAAGTAATAATGAAAATAAAAAGTTGTAAGCAAAAAAAAAAAAAGTGAATAACTTTCTTACGAGCAGAAAGTTGAAGCGATTATAAATTAATTACAACAAAAATTAAACTAAAATATTGTAATTGTTAATAAATATTTACATTTACATATAACTAAGTATGTTGTATATATCTTGTACATATGTATGTTATAAGCGTGACTTGAAAGCGCGGCTAGAAAGCAAAGCTCTTGGCTTCAAAAAAAAAAACACTACAATGTTGCATTTAAAATATTGTCTATAATAATATTTACAAATAAATGAAATACATCTTTACGCAACTGGTAATTGCACTAGTCCGTTAAGGTTGAGTATGAAATTACTGGCTCGGCGATCGAAAAGGAATTCATGACAATCAGCTCACCAGCATCATCGTCGGCCAACAGCTCGAATGGATCTTTGGTTGTGAGTGCGGTTGGTGGCGTTGTGGGACGTTTAAATACAATTGCCGCACCGATCATTATGTAAATAACAGAGAGCGCCAATAACATGGGGAAGGAGAATACAATACGCGCCATAAGTATTTTTTGTTTTTTACCGGCGCCGCCTATGGATGGTATGAATGAGCCTGAAAAGAAGAGAAATTGAATTAAAAGCGATGTATGTTGTTGTAGGAGAAAAACATTGAGAGAGAGAGTTTAAAATAAGTAAGCTAGCTGATAATTATAGAAAACTTTAGTATTGTGGCGTCATCAAAACTCTCACTGTCGGCGAAGCTTTTAATCGATTGTAATCGATTTGCCCAAATTCGCTGAAGATCTTTAAATGAAAAAGTGAAATGGGTTGAGACTACATCGTACTCTCTCTGTATACTGACAACAGAAAGCAAGCTTTCACAATGATTAAAAAGGTGTAGAAAACGTGAAAGTGTTGCGGAAAATCATTGAAAAAAGCTTAAGGATCGCTAAACGAATTTAATCTCTACATGCTCTCGTTTTTGTAATGAGTAAAGACAATCTAGAGGTTGAAAAATAGATTAATTTAAAAAAAAAATATTCTTTAGTTATTAATTTCTTACAAAATAGCGGTAATAAATTTCTTTATTTAATTCATGTATATTTGAGGACCGATTTCTTCTTAAGGATGACACCTAGATAAGAAAAGCAAACTGTTTTATGATCTATAAGCTATGATCTTTCGAAGTGCATACGGATTTATTTTTTAACAAATTTTTATGAAAGCGATACATTTTTTTTAAATTGATTTTTGACTAATTAACACGCATTCAAAATCAAAAAACGGCGACGTAATGCCAAAAACAATGTATTTGTGAAGCTATCATCAAAATCAATGCAACAGGGTCCGAAAATCGGTTCTTTCAGTTTGATAAATGTGATTTTGAGCAAAACGCGTTTAAGGGGCACACCTTAAGTAATGGAATAAAAAAGGTGATTTTTGGGAATTTTTATTAAAAAAAAAAATTCTTTATCAATTATTTCAAAATTTTAGGAAAATATTTATACATGATTCAAGAATATACAGTGAAATTTTTGAAGAAAAAAATTCAATGTTTTTTGAGTTACAGTCGATCTCCAACGACGCGAAAAAAAGGTCATTCTCTGCTGCAGTGATTCCGGTTTTCTCCGTGGATGTAAGCTAAAAAAAATTTTCGTTAAACTAGACATTGACATTGTCTGTATAATGGCCTTCGATAAAAAAAATCAAAAAAACAATATGACGGCGTTTTAAAAAAAATTTTCGATTTTTACGCAAAATTTTGGTCGTTTTTGGCCGAAATTCGATTTTTTAATCAGCTCAAAAATCGATAGGTCATTGTACGGAAAACTATGTATAGAACATGTAAAAAAAAATCGATAGTGATCGGATCATTTGTTTTTGAGTAATCACTGCAGCAAATTCGGAAAATGCTGTTTCGAGAAAAAGGCGTTTAAAGTACAAAATAATCGTTTTCACTCGTAGCTAATGAGACTCTCTAGCTGCCGAGCGGCTGCTCTTTAAATTGCTATAACTCAAAAACTACTTGAGATATCGATTTGAAATTTTTTTGAAAAAAGCTCGAATTTTGAAATTTCACACTAGGTGTGCCCCTTAAAGTTTTCATTTTACTCAGCGCATGCTCTGAGAGGCTGCAGCGATTTAATATTTTTATTTTTTTACTTTAAAATCAATTGCTTATCATTTTTAGGACCCAATAGTATTAAGAGTAAACTTCAAGTAAGAACTTCAAGCGCTCTCACTACTGACACGGTTACTATCTATTTCTTGTACAGAGCTTAAGGACAATCTAACAACTATAATTAGTTAATTCTCACTTTACAGAAATATGAAATAATTAGCTCTTGGTGTCAAAAATTATTTGTGAACTGAGTGAAATGTAATGATAACTGTATACTCTGCCCCATGATACAATAATTTAAAGCTAGTTTCATTCTCTCTTCGCTTTCGGCTTAATCGCTATCTGACATTAAACGTGTTTCGTATTTTTCGTGCTACCATATTTTCTTAAAAAAGATTTACCATTTTTAAATAAAAAATATGTGGAGAAAATCACGTAATTTTTTATTTCGCAGCCCCTGATAATGACTCTCTTCGAGTTAATGTCTTCCCTGATTGTTCTGCTACAACTTAGAAAAATAGAACAAAGTATCAGAAAGGCAAGAGCTGATTGGATTTGGTACGTCTCATAGTTTTAGAGATGTTTTAAGGAGATTTCTTTATTGTTTTAATGAATGGTGTTTTTTGAGTTGTGCAAATTCATTATAAAAATATCTTAAATACGCCAAAAGAAGCTTAAGTCGATTAAATTTCCAAACTTTTTTTAAATTCAATCCAACCGCTCAAGAGATTGATAATTGGAAATCTAAAGTCAATTAGTAAGTTAAACAGATTACTCGACGCTGGTTCTGTGAAGAAGCTCTAACCACTTGGTTTATTTTACGAAGCTCATGAGATTAATGATGCCTAGAAATAAAAGCTCTGTTAAGAATGAAGTAGTTTCCAAATAATTGATACCGGAAATTACTGAAAAATGGCCGAAAAATTGTGTGGGTATGGACTGTTCATACTTCTACCATGTGTTCCCACAACAGAATGTCCGACTAATACGGCAGTTATTATGCTTATGGAGGTCCTGTTTAGAAGACCTACTGACTTAGTTCTGTGATGAATTGCACGTGGTTCCACTCTCTCAGCGGGTATTATCAAATTCTTAACAGAGGAAAGAGGTATGCCTACATTATGAGCAAAGTTTACCGGATTATGGACTGTTTCCTATTCAGTCAACTTATCGACAACGCAGTTCCCGGTGGTTCTATGACCTTGTTGTCAAAGCATAGACGTTTCGCATATATTTGAAAAACCCTATAAGTCAAAGTTTCGAAAAAAGTAAATAATGTCGACTTCTACTATTTTATTTATAATAAAAAGCATCTTTTATTATTTCTGCGACCTAAGAAGAATATCTTGAAATATATATTTTAATAAAACCAATTCAATGTTATAGCATCTGCTTAGAACATAACGCAAAAAAAAAAGAAAACAAATAAAAAATCTCCAAGCTGAATATTTTACAAGTGGCAAGATCAAACATTTCTGAGCAAACACGTTTAGTGTCAAAAATTTCGAAGTGAAACTACCTTGTAGAAATTTTGTATCATGCTCTGCCCCTCAATATTAGCTGTGTTCATTGAGAAATGTCATTAAAAATTAGCCCGCAACGCAATTCAGAAAGTAAGATATTTATTTGTTATATATCTTACTCTCCCAAAGAAAGAAATTTACTGAGTTTTCCCCGAACAGGATTCAGTAAAAATTAGCCACTGTTAGCCATCGCTTTTTCTGTTTTTAAGTATTTCAAATCGTTTGAATTTGAGCAATGATTAAGTTCTACATGCTTTATAGCTGTCCAACGAAAAACATATCAATATCATTTTACCAATAGTCCTCTAAAAACACTAAGACTTGTATAAAACTTGCTTTGCAAGCTTGGATTTTAGATTTTGATTGTTTGATATACATTTGGAATTTTGTGCCCTCTAAGCCGGCAATTTTAACGAAACATTATAATAGAGTTTCTTCGAGTCTAAGCATCTAAGCAAGAGCTTTATTTTCCCTTTCACAAGTAAGCTGTTTTTTACTGTCTAAATTTTTCCCAGCACGAATTTCTTTTCGAACAAATCGTCAAAACTACGCTCTCTCTTTCCGAAGTTTACTGAGCTTTTGATTCAACGAACACGATTCAGTAAAGTCCAGTAAAAATTGTTACTGCTCAACTAGTCGTCGAACAGAACTATTATTGAAGTTAGTCTTCAGCCAAAAAATCCTTTTACCTTCAAGTACAGGACCCAATAAGAGGTGTTATTTTTGCAATTTTTCAAGATAAATGATCGGATGTTTAGTTCAATGTAAAAGGTAAGATATGCAATTAATAATGATAAACAATATTAGTCAAATGAAGTAAGGACTAATGGACTAATGGACTCATAAGAAGAAGTCGCAAAGTGTTAAATCACAAGATCTCAGTGGCCATTTGCGATCGAGAGATAACACGGTCGGGAAACTTATCTTTTATAATATGATATTGATGGGTTCGTTGCTAGTGTGGCACGCAGCGCCATCTTGTTGAAAGTAAACGTTGCCCAGATCAATACCATTCCATTCCGGACATAAAAAATCAATAATCATCTGTAACTGCTTCTTTAGACTAATTTTATAAAAATTAAAAAAAAAAATGAGGATGGAGAGGCTTTTCTACGAAAAATCTACGGTTTTCTCGAGCAACAAGGTAGGAATGGGTCTCATCAGTTGAGCTGATTGATCGATGAAATTTCGAATAATTTTCATACATCATGAAGTACCCAATCAGCAAAGACATGATGTTGATGAGCTTAAGCGACTTTCGGCTTAGCTTCTCTTACGATTTGTAGTTTTAGGTCTTGATGTTTTTCCAACAAATCGAGGGACCTACAATTTATACTCAGCCGCCTCCGAACTGCTTTTGGCTGATATTAATGATATTATAGCTTATATTTCATTTCCGAAGTACGCTCGGAGGGGTTGACTTTCTCTGACGAGAGGCGAACGCAAGTAGTAAATTTAATTTAAACTAATTTTCTATAACTTTTGGATATTGTTCATACCAGGACCAAAGCCTTTATGCAAGAACGACGAGGAATGGACAAACTTGAGTTTTCTACAACAAATTGTGCTACAGCAACAATATCCTCAGTTGATCTTGAGCGACGTGCACGCGTTTTACTCTTCACATCACTAACTTCTAGGCCGAATTTATCTACCATCTTTTATATTGCGGTCCGAAGAATCATTTCTTCAAGGCTTATAGTGAATTTTAATAATTTTAATCATTCCATTTTTATTACTGGCGTAGTTTTTGCTTGTCTAATGTCAAAAAACATACAAATAACATCTACCGGAATAGCAAGCACTTCAAAATAACACCTCTAACAGTGGCAAACTAATCGACTCTTAACTGGTTAAAAACCAGTATAAGTCTAATCAGCACAATACCAGTTCATTTCGCACAACTTCAAATTTCTATGTCATTACAACGCAACTACTGAACTGAACTACAAAACTACAGATTTCCATAACTCACCATTCATACTCTTCGATTCACAGCGCTCGCCAATGTAACCGTCGGCGCATACGCACGAATGTATCGTATCATTGCCGATGGGGTAGCGAAAGCAGCGACCACGATTCAAACAGAATTCGGTATTAAATTGCCCGCTACAAGGCAAGGACAAGAGATCGGGTACAATTTTCAAATCATTCATGCCATCCTTGTCAATTGTGGGCACTGTAGTGGTCGTTGTTGTACTATGAGTTGATCTCGGCTCCATGCTTTCTGTACTCGCGCTTTGTGTCGTACTTGTTACACTCGCCGGCTTGGAGCTTTCTTGAAAGAATCTAGTTGTTGTTGTTGTTGTACTAATACTTGTTTGACCGGTGCTGGTGCTGGTGCTGGTACTGTCGGTCACTGTTGTTGTTCCAGTTGCTACACTCGTCGCCGTCGTCCTTGTTGTTGTTGTTGTTGTTGTTGTTCTTGCTGTTGTTGTCTCAAAAGCAGCTGCATCGAATATACCCAACAAACTTTGAAAAGAATCACCACCAAAATCTTCCAAATCCATAGTGCCACCGATCAATTGCGTCTCCGTGGTGTTCTCTTCCTGCTCAGGCTTCTCGTCTCGGAAACGTGCGTATTCGTTTGTTAAGTTCTTTAGAAATTCAATTCCGCTACTGACTATATCCACATATTGTGGCATCTTTTGTTGTTGTAGTTGATGCTGCTGTTCCAAATGTTGTTGTTCATGTTGTTGCTGTTGCAAGTGCTCATAGTCTTCGTGCTCGTAGTCGTAATCATCGATGTGTGCATTATGCAGACGATGTTGTTGTACGATTTGCAGTGTGTGTTCCTTGAGCAGTAATAATCGGCTTGAACAACAATCTGAAAGTGGGAAGGGTAAGAAGTTAATGAAGTTATTTGCTATGAAATGTTTGGAGAACATGTACCGTTGTAGGGATACAACCAAAAACACAGAAAATTAAGAGATTTCACAGTGTGACGTCCTTTCATAACTATCATTTCTACACTTTGAAGCTCTCTCAGCCATTTGAGGGCATTTGCCTAAAATCTTATATCGGTGACTGCCCGACAATCACCGAAATGACCGGCTGGACAAAGCAGACTCAACTCTCACCTAGCGAGCCTTGACACCGACAAACTTCACGTATATATGTATGTCTACAAACGGTGAGTCCCCGCACTACACTAACCACCTTTTTGCTGGCTCGCTTATACCCACTTTGCCTCTGTTCCGAACCAGTGGAAAAATGTCGTTTCCTGGACCTCATTTTGGAGGCGTCACAGAATAAACTGTAGATCCCTCCCTTATATGAAAACATCAAGACACATGCCAAACAACAGCAGGGTCAAAAATTCCGTCCGGTTATAACTTCTTGCTCTCTTTCATTTGAGTGTTTAAAGAATGTTAACTTTCAAACAAAAGCCACCAAGTTTAGATCCTAGCGAAAGTGAAAACCTAGAGCCATAACACAACTGCGATGATACAGATAAGCAATAAAAGTAGAAAGAAATCTCCGTAATGTAAACATGGCTAAGAGTCAGAAATCCGTTACATCTAGAATATTGGGTTCATTGATAATGATCACGTCTATTAATGCCCCCTATAAGACTGAAATTTCTCTTTTAGGAATGATTACGCTAGGTTAGGGTGAACTTGTTTCGAATCTCTAGTCTCCGTTGCCAACGTTTAATCCTCAGGATTGGAACTCAAACTTTTCAAGCTCAGTGAAACTGTCGACAATGTTTCTTTGCTTCCTTATCAGGTGAATTTACAAACCCTTAATATTATAAATGCAATTCAGGTAAAATTGCCACCGAAAATTGTCGCTTGGAGAGTTAAAATAACTGCATTAAACTGGTAAAAAGATGTGCTCAATCGTATTTTGTAGAGTGAGACATCCTTCTCTCTAATTTCTATGATAATAGAATGCATTTACTCTCAAGCTCGCTGCATTTCACGTTTGAAAGGGCAAAAGGAGGGGTACCGAGCTTTCTTCCGACAGACAAATTTTTTTTTTTCAGTTAAATTGTCCCGCTAAACTTTTACGTCTCTGTGAACTGACGCTGAGCAACAGCAAAAGCTCCATCAGAATCAGGCAGGATCTCTCGCATCCATTGGGTAATTAACAACACATTAAACAAGATGATTCTTTATGGTTTCACTTAGTATTCTCACTTGGTATTCTCACCTGGTGAAAAAAGGCAAAAAGATGGGATGTTGATTTCATTATAACCGTGTAAGCAGTGCCCACACCAATGAAGAAGAAGCGAGTTGCAGACCTTAAGATGGTAAAACCTTCTATAAGAGCATAAAACTGCCGGTTTAAATGGATGATATTGAAGGTATTGGCCTTAAAAACTACGCCGTTCAAACTCTGGTCTCTCCTAGGCAGGAAAAGTCAGCCCTTCCGAGTGTATTTCTGACATTAAATAGAGAGACACAGTCCTCCATTTGTTCGAAAAACATCAAGAAGCTAAACCACAAATTGGTGGAGAAGCTCGGCCGAAAACCGCTCCAGCGATTATAAAGCGCCATTACTTCTGCTTTATCCAGGCTGAACAAAGAGGCAAAGTTTATGGGTCTGGTTGTGAACGAAGACAAGAAGTCATTCATGTCATATGCATAGATAAATAAATAAAACAAGTTTGAAAGTTTTGAAAGCAAAGAAACGACTGAATCATTTACTCTACTATGTGAATTAAGGAATCACTTCGAAAGTGCTAAGAAATTTTGTTGAGCTAGGCTCAAAATCTGCAAATGGCGATCCATAAGTTCTTAAACTTAGCCTAGACAACTTGGTTGTTGCTGTAGCAACCACAAAAATAGTTTTCAGGGAATATTGCGACAGTGTCAATCCTTGGCTGTATAAAATTCAGGATCGTTCCGGTACAAAGACCCGAATGCCGCGAGAACGATAGCCATGCCTTACCGCGGGTAAATTCTTGAGCTCTTAATCTGCAGGGGTCTAGACAACGGGGTCTTCACGATTGGATTAAAGCTAATGAATTATAATGAATGAATTTTTAAACGAATCTCACATCTTCACCAAGAACGCAGTAATATGAAGTGTTTAAAGGTCGATCAAGATGGATAGTCCGAATAACAGTCTTAAAGTTTTTCTTAAGCGAGGGATCTACCTGCATTTACACACACATATATAGGGACTTGGTGCTTTATAACAGCTAAAGCAATTTTCTGCTTAGCTCATTTTCCAATTTAAGGTGCGATCTTGATGATTTTCCAGCAAAAAGAGAGACCTACAGCTTTTTCTAAGACGCCTCCAAACGACTGTGGGGGTTTTAAGATACGCTTTTTATTGGATGTCAAAAAACTCTCTGGGGGATCGACATGCGTCGTCAAGGGAAAACCTTTATTAAGATATGTGTTCTACATTTTTGAAATAAAATAGAACTGGTCAGGATTAACTGGCTGTAAAAAAGTGCACTCTTAACGTTTTCATAGACATTGAAATCGTCTTTAAGAAAATTCTTCGCAAGCCCATAAAGAAGCTCTTCAAGGAATGGATCTTGCACAGCCGGTAGTAAAACTGGTGAAATCTGGTGCAGGGTATGTGGGCTAGATTTCAATTCAGTAAAAATCAGAACAGTTCTTTTCACAAGCAGGTATAAACCACTTAATTTTAAACCACCCAAGCTATAAAGCATGTAAATAACTCTTTCTACTGAACTTAATATCTCAAAATAATCTTAGGTAGTAAGCTCAGCTCGAGCCAAAAAGCGAAGGAAAGGTCGAGGAAATCAGATCACTCTGCCCATGCAAAGCGGCCATTGGGCAAAAGATGGGGCTTGAAATCAATTATTGTGCACTGGATTTATACAGCGGTAGTCATAGCTATTATGGTATTTATGTTCACTATCTAGTGGCCAGCATTCGGAGAAAAAAAAACACTTTCAGAAACAGACTGAATATAGTTCAGTGGTTAGCAGTTATTTTAATTACTGGAACTGTACAGTCGACTCCACCAAAAGCCCTGGAAATTGTTCTAAATTGTCTTCCCTTGGGTTGTTACGGCATTCTTCTAGCGAGCTGCAATGCTATTAGATTTGACCTGTCTGAATCCTGGAAGTACCGCGCTACAGAACACGCCAGGATATTGCCTTTCGCGCAGTTTTTAGCGGAGCTTGACTGCGCTATCTCCACTTACCATTTTGATAGCTTCTTCCCTACGAGAAACCCCGACAGATATGAAAGGCATAACCATTTTCACGGATGCGTCTAAACTTGATAAAAGGTTACGCTCTCAACCAATTTCAATTGGAAGCTACCAGACTTCTGAAGCGTCTTCCAAGTAGGACTTATTACAAGCACGGAAACCGCAGAATAATAATTGAGATGTATGATTACAAACCAATCAATCAGTATATACTGAGATAGCCAAGCTGCCACCAAATCTCTTCAATATAATTACACCACATCAAAAGTGGCGCTGGGGTAAAGATAAAGAAACCTTGCTGGCAATCTACAAAGCAATTGGACGGCCGGTCGTAAACTATGCTGCACTAATCTGGGCATCGAGGACAAATGCGACGCAGATGAAGAAACTGCAGGCTTATCAGAACACTGCTCTCAGTACCTGATGTCGCCGTAGCATCACTTGCACAGTGAAGAATCTATGCTATGAGGAGCATAATACTTTGCTTTGAGCACCCAAATAGGCACCTAATAGAAGCTAAACCTCTACCTAGCACATCAGGAAGGGAGTACTAGACTCAAAGGCACCGCTGGACAGGACAGCATATAGACATACCTTCAAAAACTCCCTTCCCATGAATGGCCTACTCAGAGTTAAACAACCACCCAAACAGCCGGAGCTGCTTTGAGAGACCCGCGTAGCGCTGGCACAGCTTAGGTCTGGACAGGTTAAACTCCTACCAGACTCGATTCTAATATATCCAACGTATGTTCAGCAAGTGAAGAGTCTCCACACGACACAAACCACTACTTCACATGCCCCTTTAATCAAAACCGTCACCGTCGAAACAGCAATTAGATGACCTCGGTGCCTTAGATTGATTTTGAATCCCATCCTCCCCCCGCCCTTACGGTAATAACAAAAAATGGCGCTAAAATGTAGAAACTCTTTAAACAAGTTCTGAGCTGGAGAATAGGGACATCCCAAGCAAGTGTATGACGAATGACGTCGTGGACGTACCATTGCCTACGGCAAAACTCATACTAAAGCTGGCTTTCACCAAAACTGTCAAAACCAGTTTGCTTAGCGTAGGATCGTGCAACAGCTTTGGCACATGCTGGACGTTAAGAGATCAAGGCATCTAGTGCGCTTAGATCGATTCACCATTAATTTAACAACAAGCACTAGATACTCCAAAACGGGAATTCCAATTAGTTTTTGCCGTAGCTGCAGGGACGAAGAAGAGATAGAGTTTGACGAGTGCTACCTTCGTCACCGTGACTTAAGATGACATAAATACCTAGGACATCACTCTTTTGGCTGCCTAGCTGAGGTATCAACGGTATTGTTCCTATATCTGAAAAGGTGAGAAGTACGCCACAGCGTATCACAACGGGCCTTGGAGCTTAAGTACAATGGCCAACTTAACTCAACTTAAATCTGGTAAGGTTTAACTAGGCTAAAGCTACGGAGAGTACTCCAATAAAAGTAAAACCGGTAAAAACGCCCAGAACTTAATAAGAAAATGTGTACATAAAAATATTTTTAGTGGATTTAAAAAAGTATTATATTTATGTGAATAAACAATATGTGAACGAATATTTGCGTTTAAAAATCTCAAAGTGTGGAGCGCGTTCCTACGAACAACAAAGGAAGCATACATACATATATTTATTATATATGTAGACATACATATGTGTGTTTTTAAACAAATAAATAACAAAAATCAATAAATAAATATATATATATATATAATATATTATATACCTCGGTATGTGTATACCTACCAGTCACCGCGACGATTGTTGACAGCATGAAAATTACTCTCAGCAAATTTTCCGAAATTTGCATTATACCAATTTTTATATAAACATATACGACGATATTCACCACACTTAGGATGCGTGTGTGGCTGTGGGTGTGTGTGGTGAGAAGCAAAGAATGCGAAAAAAATACAATTTCAATATCGAAATGAAGAAACAAAAACAGAAATCCAAGTAGTAATTGAAACAGCAGCAGTTGGCGTTAAGCAGCAGCAAAGCGCCAAAGATTCAACCAAAAAATCGGGAGGTTAATTGAAGGTGAAGTTTTTGCAAATAATGAGTGCAAATAACACGTGCACCATTAATTAATTCGTTGGAAAATCATATTAACAGGCGAATTATTGCATATGCATCTTGTAAATTTATAGCGCGTACACTGTGAGAATTGTTTTGTAGACAAAATGTTCTGCGCCAATATGCGTTGTTGGCGGCGTGAAGTTGACGCCAGCGGTTCGTGCTGAGCGCGAGGCGTCAAAACTGGAAACACACACTGCTTCGCGGTTATGGGGAGGAGAGTAAACACACGTTGGCGAAAAATTCATATGACTCACATAACCGCAAATATGGAAAATTATCTCTACTTCTTTGGAAAAATTACATTTTTTTCACAAAAATTTTGAAAGCGTAAAATTTTCAAAATTTATTAATGGAAAATATTTCGAAATATTATTATTTTTTTAATATTTGAGCACTATTTGTTACACGAAGCGTAAAACTACTCGTTCGCGTAGTAATTGCTTGAACGCGTACGCGTACGTCGAATCCCGTTGCTTGTCAATGGGCGTACAAAATGCGACTGTGGTGAATGGGTGGCGCGAGCATGGTGACAGCCCATGCCCACGGATCAACAGAGGATGTACATACGTGTATGTATGTTTGTATGTACGCAGCCGATCGTTACTCGGCGACCGCAACGATGAATGTCATTTCTTCCTTTCTAAGAATAAATATTTTGAGAGTCAACATGATGACGTACCTTTGTATGTACATATGTACATATGCCTTTTGGGCGTGCGATATTGTCTGCCTTAAGGCGTACGCGTGGGAGAATCGCTGAGCAGCAAGGAATGTCAGAATGTCAGCCAAAATTCTTTTAATAGCGGACGCACTTTTATTTTAGAACAATTTCTGAGCGATTTTAATGTGAGCGCAAGCGAAGGGAGGACAAGAAAAATCAAATATGTGCGTACATACATGTGTATGTAGCATTATTTTGTGTAGGAGGCAGCGACGTGAATGAAACTTATTGCATTTCTAAGTTTATTTGTTTTTTATGAGATCAAAGCATTAGCGAAAGGTAATTGCGAGGTGAGCGTTGGACGTGTGAGACAAAGTGGTGTTAATGCTTTGTTGATGGTTTTGTGAGTGCGTGTTGTGAGGCGCCAAGTTTTGTCACTACGAAAAAAAAAACATAAAATAAAACAAAATAAAGTGATGCGATAAATTAAGGAATGATAGACGGAAGATGCTTGTAATTAAATATATGTCCGCACAGGGTTATAATTCTGTGTTTTCGAAAATAAACGGAAATAAAATTAATTTAAAATAATGTTTTTTCATGATATTCCTTTTTTATTGAGAGGTTTATTGTTTTGCTTGTAATTAAATATATATCTGCACTGGGCCATACATTTTGTGGTTTCGAAAATAAAAGTAAATAAAATTCATTTAAAATATTTTTTCATGAAATTCCTTTATTATTGTAAAGTTTGAAATTTGACATATATGTGAAACACTACATCAATCAAAAGACTGCTTCGCGAATTTTGATAAATTTCGATTGGTTTGAAGTAATTTTTGAACACTTATCTCAGTCATAAGTCAGCGAATGTTGTTGTTTTCAAGAGTGCCCAAGAACTAAAGGCTTCTACGCATAAGCACGACCTTTTGTGTAGTTTCACAAAAAAAAGTCCAACGATGCCAAGCCACACAATCTCGTTGACGAATTGACATCGCCAAGATGAGAGGTTACGTGATCGGTATATTCACTTCGCAATGAAGCCATACTCGCTCGTTTTGTGTGGCATGTGGCACCAGTTTGTCGAATCGACACCAAATATGAAATCGTGGTCTCCAATTACCGACTAAAAAAGGCGGTTTTCAAATTATCATAAGACTCCGAATTGATAGTGAGAGTTACGCCATTACCGTTTAAAGAAATAATCACCCCTCTGGACCAAAGAGCGCACCAGGCAGTAAGTTTTTTTAATTTAATCTTTTCATTTCCTTAAGGATTCTCGGAACCCCGAAAATTCTGTCTCTTTACGTATCCTCCGAATAATAAATGTGCCTCGAAGGTGAAGAATTTTTTTTTGAAAACTCAACGTCCACTGCTTCTTATTCGGGCACCCAATCCACGTAAGTACGGCGTTGTGAAAGCTTAGCTGAGTTCAGTTTTTGTGTCTGCTTGACTTTATACGGATGTGGGTGTGAATCCAAGTGCAAAATACGCCGTATGAAAGTCCCTGCCCATGGGAACCTCGAGCAATAGAAACATTCGGGTATTCAGCTACACTTATTTTTTGAGGTGGAACGCGAAAACAATGATACACAGGCCTTATAATGGCAGTAACCATACCAGTCTCTTTAAATTTGTATAAAATTTTACGGATTGCTTCAGTAGTCGAACGATTAGGTGGATCATAATCTGGTTTTAACGCACGAAACGTGGCCATTTTTGAATCACCAGCCTTGTAGTAGGGTTAAACTATTTTAAAGTGTTGTGTGACTTTTAACTAAAATAAAACTAATTTGGTTTGGCAGTTAAGGTTGACAGATGTCACAGCCCTGTACTTTTGAAACCACGAAATGGATAACCTTATATATATATAAATAAATAGATTGGAGTGGATTTTTAAGAGGAGCTTTTATTTCTATTCAAAAATATACTCGGAGTTGTTGACATTACCTGAACAGGGGCGGCGACCGCAATTAGAAAAATTAATTTTCTTTAATTTTGAATGTAGATCTGACCAGGGATCAAATCCCCGACTCTATGTAAGGCAGCACATACTTATCACTCGGCTAGTGGGGTCGCACAAAGTGCGCGAAACACGTTCATCAGAGTAAAAAGTAAAGTAGGCAACACAATTTTCTTTGGTTCCTAAATTTTTTTACTTATATCAGATCAACGAAATACTCCAGTTCCGTATGTTTTGTCCTTTAATAAAACAAATGTTACTAAAGATATCTGCAGAGTCTTGCATAATATTGAGATATTTCTATTTGAACTTACCTCTTCAGACCAAAATTTGCTAAATTTTAACTTTTTTTATGTAAATTGTTTGGCAATATTTTTAATTTTTCACTAGTAACCTTTGAACTAAATGCCGTGATAAGTCTAATAAAGTTCAAAATTCGCTGAGGATATCTCGAATGGGTCATCCTATTGTAATATGAATTTTAATGAATTCAAACAAGCATCCAAAGAAAACAGTGGTCAACAAGCCAGGAGATTCAAGAGTTCATTATCATACAAATATTTTGAAACGATTTTTAACTACAAGAATGTCAGTTCAGTTATTAACGGTGTAACTTACATATTGAAGTTAATTTGAGTTCGCATTAAAATACATTCGATAACCAAGTGTGTTTGAAATATCTCCAAAACTGAGAGAAAAGTTTGCGTCCAGACAGACGGACGGTACAAATTTTACTGGGTCTTCTCCTTCTCCTCCGTATTAACATAAAACGTATAATAAAGACGAAGTTAATCGCTAAGTTTTGCTAAAAATTAAAGAAAATTTTTATTAGTTTTATAAAGTTTTAAAAGAAAAATATTCCGCGTTATAGACTAAATTTACTAAATTTAAGTAATCATAAAAATATTTTCGCGCGGTAAGGACTTGGAAAGTTATGGTACTTGGTATAATGAGAAAAAAAATCCGAATCAATCGGAAAATGTTTAATATTTGAGATTCCGCATGATTAAAAAGACGTGTCAGAAATCTTGATATCCGACTGTTGAGTGCGAGTACATGAAGGAGTAAATATAAATTTTTTATAGTATCCAAATACTTGGACAATTTTAAACAAAACGTAAGAATGAAAAGAAATTATTATCAATAGTATAGAAACTACAGCATAAAATAGGCAATGTGCGAGTTTTGGGCACTTCTCACCCATTGTGGGTCGCTAATTGAATTAAAAAAAAAATTAATTCCGAAAGGATGAAAAATAAAAAATGCATGGGGCTCATTGTAACTTGAAATTATTCTCGCCAAAAGCTGTAATTTATATCACTGAGTTTTAAAATTACTATCCGCGGTAGCCGAGTGGTTAGCAATGCGTACTACCACTGGGAAGGCTCGGGTTCAAATCCCCGTGCGACCAACATACAAATGTTATTAATTTAAATAAAAAATTAAGCTGAATTTCCGAGTGCTTATCTGACGTAAAATAAAAGCTGCTCATAAAAAAACCAACAGCCTTTCGGAAGCGACTTAATATAGACTGTAGGTCCCTTCATTTGTTGGAAAACATCAAGACGCAAAACCACAAATTGGTGGAGGAGCTCGGCGGAAAATCGCATCCGCGGTTACATATCCTACTCGATACAAATACGAAGAGAACCATGTATAATATTAATTTTAATATTTTTTTTCATAAATAAAATTTCATTGATAAATATGGCGACCAAGAAGCGTTTCAAAATTAATTTCAATTTGATAAATTGTCCTCATTATTACCGTTATATTACCTTTCGAAAAAATTGAGCTCCAGAGACCAAAACGCTACAGTGGTCTGGTGATCTCATGATAATATTCTTTGAGCGCCCACTTTTCCATCAAGTTTAGGGACATATATGAAGATGGATATAGCTCTCTGGTCGCGGGTGTTGGTGGTTTAGCACTCTCACCTGTTTGGGATTCTCGTGGAGAAAAGTTTTTCGAAGCACATACAGGAGGTGGTGTAATCCTCTACTGCAATTCTTCCAAGGTTTAGCCGCATTCGGTCTGATTCCATTGCAGACTGCTTGTAGTTATAATATAACTAGAGGAAGGATGTTGAGAAAAGGTAACAGGGCTTTCGATGGAATTGATGGAAGTGCTCCTGTTACCAGGATAGCAGCCGATCATTGAACTCTCTCTAGTTTGCTCCAGAAAGTAATTTTATGGAATGGTGGCCACCAAATGTTGACGCCGACGAATTGGTCTAACTACCGATGTATTAATCCTGTATACGACATCCAGTCTTAGACAACATCCTTTGAGGCAGGCGTAATGTGCAGTTAAAGGTTTCCATGACCTTTCTGCCGTTTTTGCGGCTCTAGTTAAGCTTGCTATCCAATATTAAGCCGAGATACTTTACCTCGGTAGAGTGGGTGAGCTCCATATCTTTAGTTTAGGTAGCTTAAAAGCAGTCGGCTTGTGCCTTCTGGTAAAAAGAACCATTTCGGTCTTATCTGGGTTGACATCCAGTTCGCTGTCCTTGCATCAGTTCGTAACAATGTAAAGAGCATTTTTGAGGAGATCACTTAAAGTTTGTGTATGTTTACCCGTCGCTTTTGGGGCAAAGTTCGTAGTGTATCTAGTAACGCTGGCGCAGCCGATCTCTGCGAAAACGATCCTGTTTCTCACAAGAGACCCTACAAAATTAACTATGGGTTGGTGAAGACCCATTTCTTGAAGAGCTCCTATTACAAGTTACCGCAGCAAATCAAGTAGTGAGCGATAGTCGCCTCTTGAGTTGCGGTAGCACACTCCATGGTGTGTGAGCATTACCTCTCTGGGGCAAAGGTTTAAATCGTTAAGAGCTTTGTCGACAGGCATACCCTTAGTGTTCGCATCTTGCTTCCCAGAGAGACTCCCTGGGGGTAGATTCAACTGCATGTAACTGCCACGCAGACTTTTAAAGATTTTTAAGAGAAAGGAAGAAAGAGGAAGTTTTGCCTAACTGATGGGCCGAATGTCCTAGTTGGCTCTTCCTCCGTTTTGGTATGCATATTACCTTGGAAATATATCCTTCACTCAGACGGGCAGATACTATCTAGTCCTGGAGATTTAAAGGGCTGGAATAACTTTATTGCCCATTTCACCCCTTTCCGGCATACGATGCTGATTATATCAGAGATGCGCTCACCTGCCATAAAAGGGATTTGGTTGTAAACGATGGAACATCCCGGCGAATGAGTGCTAATGAGGATATCCAGCATTTCTTCACAAGATGTAGTCCATTCCCTATCCGGTTTCTGGATATAATTTGGGATGGCGGCGTTCTTGGATAGAACTTTCCTTATTCTATTACCTTCTGAATCCGCCAATGTCACTGCAGAAGGCCTTCCAAGATTCTAGGTTTTCCTTCCTTATAGAGGTTTTGAAAGATTTCAGGCATGCTTTATAAGAATGCCATACAAATAATGTTAAACGTTAAAATTTAATTGTGCTGTTGAATTAGAGCAGGTGGGCATTTTAAAATTAACGTTAACAAAGAGTTTGGGCGTTTTCAACATTAACAATTTCACTTTTTTTCGTTAACAATACGCTGAAGCGAAACGATTTCATTTCGTTGAGTCAATTTT